GGAGGAGAGGACGCATCCGGACCGGTGCACCCCTGCACCAGCGATGGGTGGCCATCGGGGCCTCCCATCCCTCCTGAGAACTCCCCACCGGACACACCCCCGTGTCGCCTGACCATGGCCCCCGCCGCAGCTCGACGCGAGGCCACCAATGGCAGCCTGCCCAACCATCGACCAGAAGCGCGAAGCCAACCCGCACCTGCAGCCAAGAGCACTCACCGGAAGAGCCATCTCGTGCCGCTCGCCGCCGTCCAGGGGCCGGAACAAGGGAGCCCCGACTGGAGGACGGCCAATGCGCACCACCAGCACGCGCGCCCGCCGCGAGCCCGACCACCGCGCTGCACGCAGCAGGGAAGCTCCCGCGCCCGCCGGTGAGGCGCCGCGCGCCGCCCTTGCCCGCCGTACTGCCAGATCTGGCCGAGCCCATACCTGGCCACCACCGCAGCTACGAGCGCAAGCCGCCCCATGCAACCCACCGCGCCGCCACCAGGCCCTCGCTACCCCGCCGCCAGGGCCCACCGCCGCGCCTCCGCGCCCCGCACCAGCGCGAAGCACCGCCGTTCGCCGCCGCCCCGCGCCAACAGCCTCCGAGCGGGATGAAGATGAGCCCCGCGGCCACCGGCGCTGGAGGGCTTTGCCCAGCAGCGTGGTCCGGTGGCGGCGAGGAAGGGAAGGGACGAGAGGAGGCCCGAAGCCGGCGGCTAGGGTAGCCCCCCCCCTCGGTCGCCACACAGGAGCGACGCGGGGAGGGGAGGGGAGGGGGCTGCACCTTCCACTCATGTTTATGGTTAGGAAACTTAACCATCTTTGATTAACGAGCTAGTCTAGTAGAGGCTTACTTGGGACACGGTGTTTTGTCTATGTATCCACACATGTATCAAGTTTTCGGTTAATACAATTCTAGCATGAATAATAAACATTTATCATGAAATAAGGAAATATAAAAGAACAACTTTATTATTGCCTCTATGGCATATTTCCTTCATGTTGATCTCCTTCTTGTCCGCAAGCCACTTCTTTGCCTGCTCATCCAAGAGGGTTCTGTCCGCCAACATGATCTTCGCATCCTCCGCGTCCCGTGCAAGTTGCAACCTCTCTTTCTCAAGCTCAATCTCTCCAAATGTCTTGGCCTTCTCGAGTTCCAATTTGATCGCCTCCTCTTGCTTCTCTGGCTCGATCTTCTCCCTATCAAAGCTTCTTCTCCACCCTCTTCTAGTCCCACTCCATCCTCTCCTTTTGTGCATCTAACATGAGCTTGTACCTCTCCTCTTTCTTATTCTCCCTTATCGAAAAATGCTCGTCCATGTGGACGACATTTTTGTAGCCGTGGCGCCACGGGAGGCCCGTGCCTTCTCCCACTTGTTTCCCATGACTTATCGGTTATCCTTTGGCATGGTGGCCCTTCCATTCATGACAACAACATCGTACTCTTCATCGTCCAACCCAATTGATTGGTGGGAGCTTAAGCCATCATTCCTCTTCTTGGCGGACTTGAGATCGGACACAACTTGTTTCCACTTCGGCTTGCCATTCAATATGATCCAACAATGACTAAAAGAAAATGGCTTCCTCTCCACCTCATGACACAAAGTGGCCGCCACCACCGTCTAGCAAACGACATATGTATGAGCACGAGAATGCAATTATGCAAAGACAAGAAGCATATGTAAATGACAACAAGATGAAGAAATTGAGCTTATGTGAGTTGCCACTCCCATCCCACTTTGAGGGTGTTTGGCCACTTGTTAGTAGCCGACGTACTTGTTCAATTCCCCTTGAATGATCCCCCATTAATGTTGGAGAGATGCCACATTGCGGGTGGCCACGATAGGATGCAACTCCACATACTCCTTTTGTTCGTGATACTCCTTCCAAATATTCTCTCAATATGTGTTCCCCTTTTGCCCCGTGTCGCATATTGGATCCATTGTTGTGGCCAAACAAGCTTTGACAAACAAGATGTCCTCAAATCTTGAGAATGCCGGACCTCTTGCCTTCGCCGTCTTGGTCTTCTTCTTCTTCTTGCTCGGATTGGGATCGGATATTGCCCCAACTTCAAATGCGGTGGTGCCCTCCAATTCATACTCCATTTCGTCGGATCTTCATTGTCATTGATCATGTTTGACAAGAACGCCTCCTACGTGATCATGGTTTGCAAGCATTCATCAGTGCGAAATGAACTAGTGATCTATGGAAAAAATTGACCAGATAGGAGCAAAGAAAACGTATCAACTTGTTCTGCCATTCCGTCGAACATGTCGAGGGCAGCCCGGGCTCCGCCGGTGTCCGTGCTCATCCACTCCCGAACAAGCTGCAGTGAGTCACATATGTCGACCGTCGGCATCTGCGTCAGCGAAAAGCTCTCCGTAATGGCCCAGCCGGTCGTCGAATCCTCCTCTATCCCAACGGGGTCAGACGGCGTAATCCGCGTCAGTGCTCGGATGGAAGGGGTGCGGGGGTCCGGGCGTGGCCGAGGAGACAACAGCTCCACCGTGTCCGAACTTCCCTGCGCCGCCGCCGCCTCCCTCTCTTGTTGTCGGCGTCGATGCAACTTCCGAGCAACGTTCTCCGCTTTGCAAGACGGAGTCGACGAAGGGACACCGACGAACGAGGCCGACTGCGTCTCCGTTGAGTCGGCTAGCGACGGGTTGGACGACATCTCCGGTGGTGGATCGGGCCAGGTGGTGAGGATGGGGAACAAGGGTGGAGGGCGACGAGGGCTCAGGCGTGGGAAAGCTTCGAGGGCAGCAGGAGGAGGAGGAAGGGTTTGGTGGATTTTGGTGCAATTGGCGGTGGGGTCGGGCTGTCGGGTTCGACGTGGCGGGCGTGCCCGGGCGCCCCCATATTCGCCCCATATTTGGGCTGGATATGAGGGGTGTCGGTCAACCCGGGCATTTGAGACCCGTTAAAAGAGCCCGTCTGGGTTGAAATTTTGTGACCGGACCGTGACCGGGCGGCCCGCCCGGGCGTATAAGGTGGGTCTGAGGCGCCCGACTGTAGATGCTCTTATGGGGAACCATACTAAATGTTTAACTTCAATTCTCTTCGTAAGACACATAATATTTTTGTTCTAAAACAATAGGATGTGGGATGCATTGAAACCATACTTCAAGTTATAATATACTCCTTTCATTTACTTATATAAGGCCATTATAAAAAATACACTTTGCACCAATACAAGGCCGCCAACAGTAATCGAGATAAAAGTTAATGATATTTTTTTGAACTAGCAGCCTATTTAATACTTGCATGCATGAAGTCATAATGACACTCCAATCAGCTTTCTATCCCTTCCTTGCATTCATGTGTGTATTAATGATCCCAATAAACAAAAAAAATGGTTTACAAAACAAGGTATTAAATTTTACTTTGATACCTGTAATGTGAGTTTGTGGCCTTGTATATAAAAATGGAGGGAGTACACGTGTAGAGTGGTAATTTATTTGTATGAAACATTCGCTAGCCTTCCAATAATAATATCAAGATGGGCGTGCATGCTGCCACTCATGACGTCGAGTGTCATGGCTGTGGCGTGGACGACGGGCCAATCCACTGCCATAAAAATTTGTCCCTTCAGGGCGGCGGTGAAGCACATTTGTACCCACCGAGCACCACATTGCCTGAGCGCGCTATTACTCCTTCTCGGTCATCATGTGGTCAATCACACCGGGGCACGGGTGGTGGACAGTGACTAGTGTTTAGGTGGGAGTCAGAGAGAGGGGTTGTTAAAAAGGGATGGGGCTGAAATGTTGTCTCGCCCTGACGGATAGTGTGAACTACCCATTCCACTCAATTCGGGTGGGACACGAAGATTTTAGACTAAGTCAAAATAGATAAGTTTATTGAATTAAAATTTCTGTCTGAGCAGTTCGATCCAAACAGGCGGGGACAAAATGAAGAGTGTGGCATTTTTGAGATCGAGCTCCATGAATGCCTTAGTTTTGCGAATCTTATGAATTTAAACTTTTTAGTTTGAAAAAATCCTGAAAAAATACACATGTAAATAAGGATGTAATGTGTATGTGCATGAAATTTCAGAACAAAATACCTTGAATGACGAGCTGCAAAAACTTTTTTTTTATAAACTTTAAGGATAAACAGTTCGTATGCTCGGCCTTCCTCTGGCATTTTCGCGGAATGGAGGACTGCCTTTGGAGATGCCGAGAGTCCATTTTAAGCTGAGGAAATGGGATCGTCCCATTCCCATCCCATTTGATCATTAGGGGCTCTAAAATATGATCCATTACTACAAGATATGCTGTCGGGGCATGATCTAGGCTTAGGTGCCCTCGGGGCTCGGGCTTTGGACATTCAGAGAGCTACAAGCAAGCTAGACGATGTTTTGTCCGGATAAACGTGAGGAAAACAAAAGAGCAGCACCACTCCTACCACCAAGTTCCAAGCAGCTGGAGGAGGAGCTGCTCGATCTTCTCCCGCAAAAGAACAATATTATTCTCTCCCCATCCCCGTGACCCCATCCCCTCACTCTTTACTTTATTTCTCACGGCCAGCTTTATCTCTCACAGCAGCGGCGGCAGGCCCGAGAAGGCGAAGAGAGAGAGAGAGAGAGAGCAAAAGGCATCGAGCGAAAGCAGCCAAAGCGCAAGGCGGGCAAAGGCGAGGCGCGGCTTTGCTCAGCTTCAGCTCAGCTGGGCGACGCCGACCGACGCAGGAGAGCGAGCGCGATAGATGGAAGCTTATCATTGCCTGGACCTCGGCCTCTTCCGCCTGTTCCCTGGCTTGGACCAGAGCACCATGCCTGGCCTTTTCCACTTCCCCCCGGCGAGCTGAGCTCTGCTCCAACTCTATTGAACTCTCTCTCTCCTTCTTGGTTCCTCCCCCGGTCGGTCAGTCAGTCGGTCTGCCCTGCTCTTGGCGCCTTGCCGTTGGCCTTCTTGGGCTCCGGCCATTGTTCTGGCCAGTTTCTTGGGGTTCTCGCTTCTTGGAGTCCGGGCATTGGCGTCGGCGGGCGAGGGTTGAACCAATCCCTCACTCCGTCGTCAATGGAGGGGTCGGAGGGGTCGGGTGCCTCGTGTCCCGCGGCGGCGGCGGCGGCGGCCGAGCAGCAGGTGCGGGTGGTGCGGTGCCCCAAGTGCGAGAAGTTCTTGCCGGAGCTGCCCAACTACTCCGTCTACGTCTGCGGCGGATGCGGCGCCACTCTCCAAGGTCTCTTCCTTTGCCCCCTCTCTTTTTATCTTGCCTCCATGTTCTACATTGTGTTATGTTTCTGTTGTTGTCACAGGCGGCTGATGTTATTCAGTATATGTTTCTGCCGCATTAGTGTTCACAACCTGTGTCTCTGTTTGGATTAAATTCGTTCAACTCTAGTTCTTACCTTTTGTTTGCTCAACTCTAGATAAATTCAACCGCAAAAAAAAAAACTCTAGATAAATTCAAGTAAAAAACTCTACATGAATTATTGTTTGCTTTCCGGTATATAAAGATCCCATATCTGCAGCTTTTTCAAGTTTTCTTCTGTTTTTGTTTTGCACATTGCAAAATATTTTCTTTTCTCTTCCTTGTTTCCCCTCGCTCCAGTTAGTGTTTTCGCTGAACTTATCTCATTTTTCCTGAAATGTGCGAAACCTCTGATTCTCGACCTGTTCGCAGAAGCTTGCCTAAAAATCTTGACCAATTATCTGAATCTTCAGAACTTGTGGGGAATGCGGTGACATTTTCTTGTTTCTAAATGACAACTGTTTTACTCTAAGAATATTTGGTTGAAAAGTTTTGTCTGGTCTGAAAATTTCTAGATTGTAGGAGCAGAAACATCTCATTTTGATTGACTCAGTCTTGAATGAAATCGAATGCGCGGAACGGAATCGGACACTAAACTCTGCCGGTTCCATTGTTTCCACTTAAATTCCCATCACACTTTTATATGTTGTTATTAGGCGCGCAAACAATTGAGCCCAAACGCAGTGCTGTTATGAGAAAAACTGTGTTGCACGTTGTCTTGAGGACCACCATTGACAAAAATTTACACCTATGAAATCTTCCATTTCTCGATTACTTATGCTAAATTTTATGTCAAATTCGTGACAGGGAAGTATAGAATTAACATATTTCTTCTCTCTGTGCAATTTTACAGCAAAAAAGCACTCAGCACCCGAGACTACTTGTTTGGACAAAACTGACGTTGTACATGTGAAGTACCTTGAAGTGTTGGAGAGTTCGCCAGAGAAGAAGGAACCAGTATCTGAAGCTAATTTTGAAACTATCTCAGAAGAAAACTCTCAGAGAGTCCAAGCTACTCCCGAAGAGAGATTAGTAACCCAAAGAATGATGCCAGAACACAGAGATTCCAGATGTAGTTCTGGTGATGACCAAATCCCAAGAGAGCCAAGCACCTTGATGTTTAGGGCCACTCTTAGAGATGACAGCACGGAGATTCGGGAAGCCAAGTACCGGCGCATACGGAATGAGGAGAAAGGAGATGTAAAGCAACCTGTGAGACCAAGTGACAGATCTCATATCTCTGTAGTCGACACCATTCCTCCTAATGCTTATCATGGTGAACACCAGATGAAGTCAAGCTTTGGAGATGCAAATGGTAGTCAGTGCGCAGACGGGAGGAATATGGACGGTCCTAGCAGTGTCAGTGGGCTTGAGAAAGACCGCGCCGAGCTTTTACGGATGCTTGATGAGCTGAGGGATCAGGTGCAGAGATCCTGCGAAATCACTGAGAAGCCCAGTGTAGGCGCCTCCACAAGTAGAGTGGTGGATGCCTCGAGCTCGTACAGTCCTCATGAACTGCTGAGTCGGTTGCGGAACGGTTCTCAGTGCTCACCATCCTTGAGTGGGCAAAATCCTGGCGTTCTGCATGCTTATGCTTCAGTCCCCACACATCAAGATCTACAAGGATATAGAGAGCCTGACACACACATGGGGGCTCCTTGCTATCCTGTTGGCCAGTATCCATGGAGGAATTGTGACAGTTATTTCTTTGGACAGCATAATCATGACCCTCTCGTCTCTTACCACCATGGCGGTTTCTACCACCAGCCTGCTTGCTCTTGCCTGCATTGTCATCACCGTGAGTTCTTGCCTGTTCAGGGGGCTCCGATGGGTTTCAATCATCACAGGGTGCCATATCCTGGGGCGTACCCGGTTAACGGTTCTGTGATGTTTGGCATGCAAAATAAAAATTCGAGAGGCATCAATGCTTCGATGCACCGCGGTCACATGAGGGGAAACCTGAGCAAGAAGCCTCCGCAAACATGTGAACCGATTGCCTGCGGAGCCCCATTTACCATATGCTACAACTGTTATGAAGTGCTGCAACTTCCCAAGAAGTGCCCCTTGCCTGGGAAGGATGAGTACAAGCTACGTTGTGGGTCATGCTCTCATGTGATCATGGTCAAGCTTGATGGAAGCAGGCTTGATGTTTCAGCGCCTTCGCCAATTTCACACATGTCTGCTGCTAGTAGAAATAACTCCAGTGATGTCCAAGGAAGCAATGCATACTCTGCTGCTGATGAGAGACTGCTTCCGCTTTACAGCTTTTCTGCAGGGAGTCATTGCTCTCGAGAAAGAGATCTGCACTCAGACTCAAGTGACACAGAAAAGGTGCAAGGTATATCATCGTCTTCTAGCATTTTTGAAGATGAGAATAATCCTGCGAGATCTAATTCACAGAGGGGCACCCCTAGGTCCAGTGATCTGCCCGTTGAAGCCCAAGTTGTTAGCCGTGTTCCGAGTTTACCTCTTCAGCATCATTTTGCACATTCACCATCTGAGAGGGTGGTTAATGGATCAGGAAAAGGAAGCAGAAGTACCCGGTCTGAGCATGAGAAGACAGTATTGACTGAAACTTGTAGACACAACACTATAAAAGATGTACGTGTAGTGAGTGTGATGAGCTTGTCAGATGATGAGTACGAGGATCCGGACTGCAGTCAAGATCCCTGTGTTGGGACTCAACATGTAGATCGCCTTACCGTCACGAAAACGGGTGATTCATTCTTTACCAATCTCATGAAGAAGAGTTTTAAAATCAACAATGGAATGGGCAATGGCAGAGCAAAGGTATTCATTAATGGCTATCCCATCTCCGATCGTGCTGTCAAGAAGGCTGAGAAGATTGCCGGACCAATCTACCCTGGTGAATACTGGTAATTTACACCTTCATTCATCTAAATCTTATGGAAACTGAAGTTGTGATCCAAAATGTAACCCTTTAGCATCATGGCCATTTGACATTTTCCTTGTATTTTTTGTTTAGGTACGATTATCGTGCAGGGTTCTGGGGTGTAATGGGTCAATCCTGCCTTGGCATGATACCTGTAAGAACAGTTTTTTTTTGGGAGTTAATATGCTTTTCTTACCCTGTCATATCTTGATCCAAGCTTTTAACTGGATTTCCATGTTGCAGCCGTACATTCCTCAGCTTAACTATCCTATGCCCAAGAACTGCGCTGGTGGAAATACTGGTATATTTATCAACGGGAGAGAACTTCACCAGAAAGATTTTGACTTACTCGTGGGTCGAGGTCTCTCAGAATCTCCTGACAGATCATATAAGGTTGAGATGTCTGGTAAAGTGTATGATGAAGTCTCTGGTGAAGAACTTTATTGTCTTGGCAAACTTGCACCAACGTAAGTAATTTATACCGACTTCAAATCTTTCCATTTCAGTTTACAGTTATAAGTTCTGATGACAATGTCGCAACCATATATTTGTTCTACAGCGTGTGATTTATGTCCTTGTTTAAGATGTCAAGTCACTGCCACATATTTGTTCTACCGTGTCTAGAAACTAGAATATCTACCATGGTATTGATTTAGTACTGACATAGTCTAGACTCTAGAATATCTGCCATACTTGACCCTGTACTGAAAGTTTCTTTACACAAACAGTGTTGAGAAGATGAAGCGCGGTTTCGGCATGCGGCCCCCGAGGACCATCCACTGAGAAAGAGGGGTCGGGGTCAGAATTGGCCTCAGGATCTGGGCGACTCGCCGCGCCGGAACTGGGGATATCATGGTCCTGAGATCAGTCGATAGCCCACATTGTGGACTACATAAAGTCATTTTGCAAGTTCTGCTTCTCCTACGTAGCCATGCTGTGTGTGTGGTGTGTGATGCTTTTGCTGATTGCAGTTATTCCGCCTATCTACTCATGTATAGTAGATATATGTAATCGATGATCTCTGTGATGACCCCTGAAACTGATAGTTCTCTGAAAAAAGGCTCAATGTGAAGTTATGTGCTGCGGGTTTCGTGAATGAGTCAAACTGATCTCAAAATAGGCTATGCGGACGCCTTGATTATCCACACACACGTTGATTATCCACACTTCTCCTACTCAGTTAGAATTTACATGATCAGATCATTGCAAAAATTATACATCAGAGACTATATTTATTGTCTAGGTTCACCACATCAATTACATCCCCGGGGGCTACAACCCCAGGGTATGACTATGGTTGCTCCTCTAATGTACCAAATAAACATAGTACAGATCGATGACAAGTCCGCCGTGATCATGACACATATCAACCGCCGCACTATCGTCGGTCCGGCACCCTTGCCAGGGGTGTCGGGACTCGTCCCTTCATGATCTCATGTCCATCCTACCAGTTTCATCTAGTTTATTTGGCTACACCACAGCGCCTTTATATGATATACCCAAGTTACATGTGTTTAGACCCAACCCCCCGCATATTCCAAGTCTAACTGTAGCCCCGAACACATAATCGACACTAATTTCAACACTCCACCTTGGCAAATATGCCCTCCGTCATCATTAAGTCATTGTCCTCGCTCGAACATCTGTGTATGATTAGACTTGGGTCTGATTAATAACATCGCCTCGATGGCTCCTCCTCAGCTTCACCTTCAATGATGTTTGCGCATACCTTGTACAGACCGTTCTTGGTCCTCTTGCCCCATCATCACAAGCTTCTTGTTCTTATTGATCTTCATGGTCTTCTTGTCCCTCTCCACCTTGCTGACATGCCCATCACCATGAAGCTCGCCAAGCGAATTTGGATTTACCCGAACCTTTTGCACGTGCCTAACATCCTTGAGCACGTGTCTTGAATCTTTTCATTCGGGGGATTGATGATCCTCGACACCTTTTACATAAGGGACTAAGACATGAGTATTCACTTAACGTATTAGTACACATAATTGTGTGTCATCAATACCAAAACAACACCATGGACCTGGATCCACTTCCAAAACAGATTTAGCTTGGAAATGTAATCAATTCTATACGTGGCATATACGAATATAAGAACTACCAATCTATAACAACAATGCCATACTAAAACCAATCTACAACTGATGTTTTGGTCAATGTCAAAAGGTTTGAAGGGATAGGAGCTGGCAACTCTACCCTATCAGCCCCGACCTCTATAGAAGGTTTTGAATGAGCTTTTTGCCATGAACAAAAGGAGATGTTCTGTTCAATGTCCAACCGGAACGAATATACAACTGATGTTTTGGTCAAAAGGTCACAACGTTTGAAAGAGTTGGCTACTCTACCCTATCAGTCCGTAGCCATTATCGTTGCCCAATCCAAGGAGGCTTCGACGTCACTTCATGTTGTTAGCTTCTTTTGAATGTTATACATATTGACCTTACACAAACAGTGTTGAGAAGACTTGGCTACTCTACCCTACCAGCCTATAGCCATTATCGTTGCCCAACACAAGGATGCTTCGACGTCACTTCATATTGTTAGTTTCTTTGGAATGTTATATGGACATTGTTTCGTTTGTCTGGTTGGGCAAACTTTTTGACTTTTGGTCGTGTACATGTCAATGCAAAGGCTAGGAGAGACTCTTTTGTGCTCGGTTGCAACCATCTTAATCCTGCAAGAAAATAAGATATTCCGTAATCATAGAAAAATGTAGAATGAACCACGCAAACTAATAGCACCATGGAAATTACAGGAGTAAAACCGAGATGTGGATGAGATGAAGGAAAGGAAACGAAATTCTGCGGGATCGAGAAACAATTAATACTTGTGGGTGCCAAATAAAATCTCACTACAATTTTAGTTTTTGTGGGATGCCAAAAATGTGAAAGCACACATGGATGGACCATGGGCAGGATGATGTCACAGACTAATAATGGCAAAAGATGGAGCAAACGGTCCAAGCAGCCGCGTAGGTGCCAAAACCCTTCCAACACGGCGTCCGTGACCATCCCGAAGGACACTCCTCTTCCCTTTTTCTTTTCTAGCGAGAAACCTTTGCGCGTCCGGTGTTCCAAATTCCAAAACCCACCCCCGAGGCGAGGAAAGGCACCGCACCCTCCTCGCGATACAAATTACAAAGCGCAGAGAAAGCGAGGAGCGCCCCCCGTATCCCACCACCCCGACCCGAACCCCTGGGCTGAGCGCCGCAACCGCCCGCCCGGCCGCGATGATCCAGCTCCTCTTCACCGTGCTGGCCGCGGAGGCGGGCATGGCGGTCGTCCTGCTCTTCAAGACGCCGCTGAGGAAGCTGGCGATGCTCGCGCTCGACCGCCTCAAGCGCGGCCGGGCCCCCGTCATGGTGCGCACCGTCGCCGCCACCGTCCTCGTCGTCCTCGCCTCCAGCCTCCACAGCATGGCCAAGATCCACGGCCACGCCGGCGCCGGCGAGCTCGACGCCCCCGGCGCGCTCAGCCCCACCGACCAGGTCCTCCTCGCCCGCCACCTCCTCGAGGCATCCCTCATGGGTACGTGTGCCTGCCTACGGGACCCGACCGCCCGTCCCCTCTTCTTATCTGTTCGGTCGATCGTCTACACGTCCTTGGTTTGTTGAATTTAGATGAGAGCATGACTTGATTTCGCTCTAGCGCATCACGACGTTCTGTTGATTTTAGTCTGACGGATGAGTTGTTCAATCATGCTATGGAGAGATTAATAAGTAATTTATTAGCTGCATTTGGCTAACATTTTGGAGTAATCTACAATTTAATGATATAGTATGGAGTAAAAGATTTTCCCCATTGTACCTTACTTTATGCTCAGTATCTGTAGTTTAATGTTATAGAGTAAAAGATTTCCCCATTGTATCTTACTTAATGGCCGAACCTGTAATATATTTTTCTGATTACTGTTCAATTGAGTTATAGATATAGTGTCTGCAGTAAAATTGTTTATCGCATAATTAGAAGTAGGGATGTAGGGTGTCTTTTACCGAGATGGGGTAACCTTTTGGGGTTCGCCATTTGCCCCCCTTTCAAGTTAACTGTCTTATTTCCATGCTATAATTTATGTCATATTTATAAAATTATTTTGTTCCACTTCTCAAACTATTTTGCTCTGACTTGTTAAGATGTACTGGGAACTTTGTATTGGCCTAAGTATTCAAGAAAGTTAGGCAAATTATCAGCTGTGATGATATTTCTTATCATACCCTTGTTTAATAAGCCATTGATTGTTCAGTTTAGGAATTAGATCATACATAGAACAAAGCTTATGCTGCTCAGGCTGTTTATGCTATATGCATACAATTTGCTGTTTGTGCTATATGCATACTATTTTATGGGTATATTTAGGATCGCTCTCATACAACCTGTGATTTTTATGTAGTGTTCAGTTTGGCCTGAAATCTTTTGTGATTACCCTGATAGCAAATGCAAACACAAATCACGGCATTTATGCATGTCTATTATACCTGTTACCTGATGCATTGACATTTCTGCTATTTTGGTTTTTTGGGTGCTCTGCCTTTTCCATATATTAAATCCTTGGAAAAAATTCACATGATTTGATTTATGTTCATCAACTATTCTTGTTGTTCCAAGTGACTTAATCTTTGGCCAGAGGTGATGAATGCTCTTGAAAGTTGTTCTGTTCTGGTACACCCATTTCATTATTTGGATGATGGGGTCCCTAGAGTTGGGGGGCTAATTTGACCGGTCTAATTCATACTATGGTTCTTAAAGATTCAGACGTGAGTTGATGAGATCATGTAACATCCAACCACTGAAGTTATATCTAGGAGACACGGACCTCAACATCATTAAGTTGAAGTTTTATAGGATGACTTTCCTCTTATACTTGCCCCATATCTGATATTTGTGTTTCCTCTGGGACAGTTCATTGGTGGAGTGGGATCTTGGTCACTCTTATTCAAACATTTATTATCAGTTTCTCTATTAGTTTTTGCAATTCCAGTTTTTCGCTTTCATTCGGTATTTTGTCCTAAACTGACAAACTTGTGTACATTTAAGAAGTCGTAAAAACATTACAATAACATTTTTTAGTAAGTAGGTTGTTCAAGATAAAAACATGGGGAGGATTTGCTCTTTTATCATATAAAACCTTCTACATAGAGTATAAGCGACCAGGTGAGATACCATAATTCTGATGCTGACAGGAGTTGAATCCTGATCAGCAGGAGTCTACTATGTATTCCAGTCCAGGGGGCGGGCCAGGATCAGTGGGCTGAACTGGGCCATAGTGTGCTCACTCCAGGATTCGGTATTTTTTGGGCCAAACAGTGCACATCTCTCTGCTGTACTTGGACTGGGCTGGGGCTATATTTGTGATATTATCTTTTGTTGCCTGTGGCGTTGCCAAAACACTTTGTTATGGCTCAACTCTTATGTGGTTGATCTTATGTTTGTTATGTTATTTTTCTTTCATTCTTTTCAATCTTTTGAGGTTTCTTACAGTGAAAATAGACACTTTTATGTTCTGTCAACAACCAAGTAAGCCAGTGGATCTGTTGCTTCAGAAAAATTATCCACAAATTTTTATCCTCAAAAAAGGAATTTCTCTGCACTTCCCTCTTTGTGATTCATCTTGGTTTGATGTAACACAGCTGCATGTTTCTGGATGCATATGACATTCTTGTATTTAATTACAGAGTAACATCTTTTTATGTTCATGTAGATTTTAGTGTCCAAATTCAGGGATTTTCTCAGAATGCAGTTCCACTTGAGGTCTTTAGCACATTAGTGTTTTGT